AATAGTTTGAACTTTTTTCATTTTTGGAATACTCTTATGTGGAATCCGCAGCTATTTTTCCCGAAATTTGGGTAGACTTAGATTTCTTAGAAATATGACATATTGGTATCGGCAACTCTGCGAATGGGAGAAACAAATCGCATTTGTTGAGCGCATCCGTCTAAGCGGTAGGCGCCAGCGCCCGTTCTGCCATCTCTCTTTTATCACTCTTCTACTTTACCCCATTGTCCGTCACACTCCGACGCTGCCAGATACGATCCTACAATCGAGTGTCTTTCACGCACCTACATTTGTATATTTCCATCTCTCTTCCTCATCATAATGTATAATAATCGTTTTTCCCAAAGGTGTATATGATTATACCTACTTTACATTGTACGCTTTTCCCTAATTTCTTTATGTCTTTGTTTGTATTCACTGATTTTTTTCATTTCTTCTATATATATTACTTATTCATGCTTTCAAAAAGGCTATTGTTTGAATATTACTACGATAACATATACTACTCGTATATCTTTACTTTTAAGCTTTTAAGTTAGTTAAGTAGGTTTTGTTAGGTTAAGTGGAAGACCAGCCATTCCTCTATAGGAATGAAAGCTGAACTTCGCCTTTTCCAAGTATCACTTCCATATCTCTATACCTTGGTACCAACGAATAAAGAAGATTATTATTATTATTATTAGTAGGTGAAAACAGGAAAGAATGCATCTCGCCGAAACCTCAACGAAATATGTGGATGAAATAAATGTTTGACATTATGGCTAATAACAGTTCCAAATTGACAGAAACATAGCATGTTTCACTCAAATGCATATGAAATCATATAAAATGTATCAGGAAAATTTATTTGTGTGTCACACAGGATTGTAGTTAAAAATTGAGTACTAATCTTCGGAAGTTTTTTCAAAAATTTGTTGTTGGCTCGGAGATAATAAAATACCGTAAAAATTATCCACTGCCCTTTGGTCGAGTAGTTCGTAAGACCTTTGCTTGGTTGGAGTCTAGAAGGTCAGCAGGTCTATCTGGTGTGGTTGCCCAGATACCAGGCAAAGTTTGGGAGAAAGAGGAGAAGGAAGAAAAGATAAAACAAAGAGACGAATGGACGTCGATAGAGAGGAATACCTCGGCTTTATCAAGCAGGATTCGGTAATTTTAACTTGATTTGGAAACTTAATTTTGGAACTAGCTTTTGTGGAAACTTAATCTTATTCAAATCGTGAACCCCATGCCAACGAACCGCAATGGGGTTCATCCGTACACCTCTAATTCAAGAACATACCACCGCTATTTTGATCAATCGGCACGATAATTGCGCGAAATCAGCAACAACAGCAGCAGTAGCAGAAAAGCAAAGACAGCAGGAACAATACGGGACCTGACCAAGAAGCGATTAAGATTCCTCGTTCCTCCTACGGGTCGCGGTGCTTGGTCGCAAACATCCACGAAGTCCCGCGCGGCATCTGATACCGCTCTAGGGGGAATAAAGAAAACGAAACAATTAGCTTTGGACGTTCGGAATTTTGAGACAATGTGTCGTAACTCGTTGTCGCACACGTATCTCCCACACGCTCCCGCTTAGGGAACGGAACGGGGCCTTTTTCATGCCTTCGTCGCCGGCCGTTGTCGGTCGTACCATACCAGATGCTAGGAATTTTCTCGATACCGGATGGCACTACACCGACTCGCAGGCCTTTATCGCAGATATGCAAGGACCAAACACACAGATTTTAACGTTGAAGTTTTGTATTGTGCATCAAGAGGAGAGATTAGGCCCCTTGACATTGTCCCCGGTAGTTACTCAGAACTAGATCTACAGCTTGGCAGTCACAAAGCAAGCGCTTAAGTGAGTCATATTCCTGTTCAAATCTACAAATACTATATTGAGGCATTTTAGTTGCAAAGGCTGGGTTGACATCTTCAACCAAATCGTATTTTAGAATAGGGTAGTTGATACTGTTTTAAGTAGGTTTTAAATAGTTAATATTTGTTCTATCAGATCAAATAATTTATTACTACACTTTTTGAGACCTGAAAAACCGTAAATCTTTAATTTAAAAATTAATTTTTCTTAGACAGGCGAAAACGCTCCTCGTCATATTTGGCCCATAGAATAATGACGTCATACCATTTGTAAACAGCAGCTGACAGCAGCATGACCTCTTATACTTTTAAGCATATAAACATAACGTCTACCGGTTTATATGAAAAATATAGTTATTATCGTTATTGTATCGTCCGAGAATGTCAAAACACATCGAGAAAGATCTCAAAAAGGCTATGGGTTAGGGTCTAGGGAAATAAATACACGCAACACCTGGCTAAGACTTTTTATCGACTGTAACTCAAATTTATCTTCACGAAGGTCAGTTTGATGTAACATTAGGTGAAATTATTTAGAGGTGATGATGCGTAGCCTAGTTTTGAATGACTTCTGAAGAGGAAGATTATGCAAGTGTATTATTGATTCTTTCTTATATCTATCATTACATCAGATGCACTGTACTTACATAGTCTTGATGACCCTCAGTTCAGCAGGGCTGAAATCTGGGCTGAAGGCAAAGAAGCTACCAACAATCAATGTGCCAGTTTTCGGCAAATTAAGTCCATTTTTTCAATAAATCAAGAAAAGGATAACTCTTTACGATGATTATGAGTTTTTTAAAAATATTTAAAGAAGTCAACGTTAGTCCATGAGTAACCTACAGATGACATTGCTTTATTTTTAATTTATACGACGTCACACGATAGCGCTTCCACCGTTTCAAATTGAAAATAAATGAAATATTTTTTCAAATTGGAATTACCATATACGAGTATATCCATATGCGCTTTAAAAAATTGAAATAGATAAATTACGTTTTCTTAGGTCAAATGTTGTAAGAAGTACGAAAATAGGATATGAGTCAAGTAGCCTATTATTACCCGAAAACTCGTATGAGGTTAGATTCCGGGTTAGATTTTTGTTATCCACGTGTTTTCTTTATCAACAGCAAAAGAGATCCAATTGAGTTCGTGTCACGAATTTTCCAGTCTCTCACAGATTATTAGTGTACTTCTTTGACAACTGCCAATGAAAGCCGATAGCTTTCACTCTCACCGTTATCAATTCCAGGATTAAAATCCACCTTTCACACAAATTAGATTATTTATCCAGGATTCTCCACAAGCTGATTCAATATATATTAGATGAGAAATTACTACAAATTGTTTTTGTGCTTTTAAATTATCTTTTCTGGCTTATCCTTTCACCGGCAAGTAAAATTGAAAATTTGAGGTTTGGAACTACTGTGAGGTGGGGATGCCGCCCTATGGCTTACATTTAAAGCATTTCCGACATTTTTTAAGATGTCTACTGAACCTATAATATACTAAGTGACATATAAATCCGAACACCCAGTTTAAATGGTTTTATTTTGATAAAAGATGGTGAATGTATTTATCTTACTGTAAATAACAAGTGAAAAAATTTTCAGCCTTATCAGTTGGACATTCTGGTTTTTATACTGCTTTTTTTTAATTCACTAACGCTCTAAAAATGAATATTTCAGCCGCAGTAAAGAATCAACGTTGGCGGATTTTGGTTCTTGACATCCTTTACGATCGGTGACGATGCCTAGAGTACGGAGACCTGTACGATTTCGTCAACTTAGTGAGTTTGATAGGGGCCGTATAGTGGGACTTCGGGAAGCTGGACTTTCTTTTCGGGCAATTGCAGTTAGAGTGCAAAGAAGTGTAGACACTGTGGTTAGGTGTTGTCAGGCATGGCTTCGAGAAGGCCGTACGCAAAGAGCAAGGGGCACTGGACGCCGCCGTAGAACAACAGACCGTGAAGATCGCCGCCTAAGATTATTGGCCTTAAGGGACCGTTTCTCCACTACCAAGTCCATTGCAAATGAATGGTTTGCAGAACACGGAATACCTATTGGCATGCGAAGTGTTTACCGACGAATGAGAAGTTTTGGCTTGTTTTCATACCGGCCACACTGGGTCCTCCCTTTAACTCGAGAACACCGACGTAATCGCCTTGAGTGGTGCAGACAACGGTCACTCTGGGATCAGGAATGGTACAGTATTGTCTTTAGTGACGAGTCTCGATTTTGTTTAGGCATGCACGATGGTCGTGCCAGGGTTAGAAGGCGACGTGGTGAAAGGAGGAATCCACAGTTTTTTGTTGAAAGACATGTTCATCACACTGTTGGAGTTATGGTTTGGGGTGCTATAGCTTATGGTTCCAGGTCACCTTTAATCTTCATCAGAGGTAACATGAACGCGCAGCGTTATATCCACGAAGTTCTAGAACCCCATCTTTTACCCTATCTTGACAGCCATGCAGATCCAACTTTCCAACAAGATAATGCCCGACCACATGTTGCAAGAGTCACAATAGACTTCTTTCAACATAATGATGTCACGTTGTTACCATGGCCACCAAGATCTCCCGACTTATCCCCAATTGAGCACGTGTGGGATATGATGGGTAGGAGATTGCTCAATTTGCAACGTCCTCCTCAGACTCTAGAAGCACTTCGAGAGGAGTTGGTGGTTGCCTGGAATGAGATACCACAGGAGGACATTGACCACCTGATCAGAATCATGCCTAGGCGCGTTGGAGAATGCGTAGCATATCAGGGTGCATCCACACATTATTAAAGGTCAAAGGGATTTAAAGCAGTGCAATCATTTTGAAATTTTTATCATTTACTTATTATGGTTCATTAAGTACTTATACAAAATTTTATTAAAATAAAACCATTTAAACTGGGTGTTCGGATTTATATGTCACTCAGTATATAATATATATTATGGGTATCACCTTTGGAGTTCGCGACTATCAGTTTTCAAAATATGCTGATGTGAGTGCAGTACTATTTATTATGATTATTATGATACGCTACTGGTTGAAATGCAATTTTTTGTTTTTCTAGCCAACCGTCTTTGCACCCTGGCCGCCAAGCAATGCTGGAAATAGATAGAGAATCATGAATGATTCTCTTTGTACAGTAGCGTCGGTATTCCAGTGCGCTCCTAACTCCACGTTCTTTTTATACTCCCTGTGTGAGAAGCATATGATCATAACAGCTTGTCTGCGAAACTCAATTTCAAATGTTTTCTTAACATCATTTTACCGTGTTTCAGTTTTGACACTTGTCACCAAGCACAAACTCTTTTTCGAATTTTAAGCCACAAATTCTAAATTCCAGTCACACAAATCTCACTATGCAATCCGTAAGTAAATTTACTATATTCTATCTGTATTTTTATTATGTATGCCATACGTGTAAGAGATACATTTCGTTGATATGCCTAGAGCTTAGCGAGATAGAGCCGTCTGTCATATCATGAAGATTCCAACTTTTGGGGCATTATATTTGATTCAAATCACATGAAGCTCCACCTTGGCAGGGATAGCAATATTCCCTAGTTGAATATTTCTGGTACTTCTTGATCAAATTCTAAATCACATACGTCAAACAGACTCATAGGTTAAAGTGAATCTATACTAGGTGGTTAACACTAGCTGAAAAACAGCAAAGTTGCAAATACTGTTGAGATATATTGAAATGCATGTTTTGACCTTTATCCACTACAAAGGTTTTCATTTCCTAATGTTATAATTATATTGTAATTGCAAATATTATTAAGTTGAACATATAAAGTATCTTTTGAAGGTGGTTTTATTCCTACTACTAATACGTGGGCCACTGATACTTCATAGTGGTTTTGAAAACAGTTAGAAAAATAATTTTCCCAACCTAAATTTTTTATAAACAAGTTATCCAGCATCTTTACATCATGAGCTTCTTCATTTACTTTTAAGCATGTAACACTTTATTTTGGAATTCTAAATATTCTGGTGTACAATTATTTCAATCTGAAGTTTTGAGTTGCAGAATTCAGAATTTTCGCTTTAGCTATTCTTCTGCCCTAGGTAGAGGGCGATTGATATAAACTGATAGTGGTGACGATTTTTGTATCCTATAGGTTGAAGGAAAAGAGCAACATACCCCAGAGTCAATAATGGAACGGCTGAATCGATTAGAAGCCGAGGTCAAACTGATCCAGAAGACCATTGTCAGACCCGATGAACCTATGGCGACTTCAACGTCTGACGAACAGAAGAAAACAGGCGACACAGAGTTGCTTTCCAACCAAGAGAGCCTCGTCACGGAGTCTCATGAAGCACAGCTGCTTATGCAGGAACCCTAAAAGCACTTGGACAATATCAGTAGATTTTTATCGGAATAGGCATACATCTAGTTGGATAAAAATGAATCAAACACATTAGTTCAGTCACTATATTGCTACGCCCCATCAATAAACTCATCACTATAACTACGACTTTTCTTCTAGACACTGCTTTACTTCTTGATCTGCGAAATCCCGCATCCCTAAAATGCAGATTTCCGACGGCCTGTATGACCGGTAGTCTTTGGCTCCTCTATAACTTGGTAAGCATGGATTAAATCTTGAGGAAATTTATTTAAGATTGCCACCATTTAGTAGATTTTGGAAATTAGTCTAGTGGTGAAACTCTATTTTCCGTGTTTCTGATTAGCTTAAGTCGTAGTAAAATTTTTTCAGACAGTTCAAGAATTTTGGATAGTATGTATGTACGCATTCTATCTAATCATTGGCCACTTTATAGTTCAGAAGGCACCGCTTGTTTTGGTAACATTTTCACAATAGTACAACTACGGCGAGGAAAGAATATATTGCTTTTGATAATCGGCCCAGTTAGGCAAAAGTAATCGTAAACAAATTAATAATCACTGACTTCACTATTACAGAAAGAACCACTTGAATTCTGGCAAATTTTGACACAAAGTTACAACCGTGGCATAGACGAAAATATATTCGAAATATAAACCTAAGCGTAACCTATTTCTGCCCTGTACCTGGATCAGATCAAACATGAACACGTACAATGCACAATAGTACTCATTCCAGATGCTGGCCATGTTGGTAAAGAAAACCTTTACACGTTCTTAAAAGCAGAACTAAAATGACACTCGTACAGCAATATCGGAGTTGTCCATATTTTAATTTACGGCGTGAGTCTTCGAAATGCTACCGAGGCTCCACGAATGCATGCAGATCGTTTTTCGAGCTTCTTCGTGATGTCCTTTTTTGTTTGGGACGAAAAATGTTTAGTGTATAAAGCTGAGGTGAACATGGTTGACAAACATTCGGGAATGTCAGTCCTTTCTAAAAGCCTACACTGATGCCTGACAATGGAGCATATACATATGTTTTTGAATCTATCGCAGACAACATTACTTACAAGTGACACTTGAAATTTCTTTTCGATGAACGGTGAGTACTTTTTCATTTTTTTTTAATTTTTCGCTTTTGTTTCATCATACACTAGGTTTGTCATTACAAACGTAGTTGTTTCTGAAAAGGAAAGTCCCAACTTTCAGGACACCCTGTATTATCACTAGCCTGAGCCCGCGACTCTGCGTGGAAGTAGTGTAAAGTATAGGTTGTCCGTTTTGCATTAGTGTGTAGTAGATTTATTTCGCCGAAAGAACTCCAATATTCAAGGTAATCCAATAGTTACTTTGGCAATTTTATTTCAACAATAAATTGATATCAAATGTGTAATGAGACCCACAATAAATATTACATGAAGTATCTCACAGCCTGCATTTCAATATATTCTAGCCCAAAAAAAGGTAGCCAAATCCATACAGATCTGCTCAGCCAGTTTTGCGTGATTGAGTATCATCCACATCTATGAGAGTGTGAGATCCCACAAGGGATTGATGAATCCCACCTATTGAACCTGCAGGATTGAATTAGCGGACGGATTGTAATCCTTACCTGCAACTGAACATCTCAGTATGCATATTTACTCATCACTCTACATGTATACTTGTATGAGATATATTCTTGCATCATCAAGCTTATAAAATACATTTTAGATCTTTGAAGAGGCACATAAAGTTGCTATTAAATGGAATTCTTCAGCTCTCGTAATGCGGCATCAAAATCAAGCAAGTCCTGAAAGCCTCAATTAACCTGCACCATGTTAGCCACATAAATATTTTTTGATGACCGCAGAGATGTCCTTTTGCGAACAGCCATAACTTGTCCACCACCATGAGTAAATAAACTGCATTCAGCATCCAATTTGTTGAAACCGTAAGAGAATTCGATGAAAATATCTCGCAATAAAACCTTTTACGACTGAATTACAAAATTTATGTGTGGAAAGGGATGTAATAATTGGTGTTGTTTTCAAGAATATGGATGTCTTTAACCATTGAAAAAATACGGAAATTTATATTCGATTTGAAATTTATTTATACTCTAAGCATTCCGGATGTTGGATTACAATGCCTGGGGTGGCCGATTGAGTGGGGAACGGTAACTACGTGATCCAGGTTCATGTTTTATTAACAAGATGAGGCATATAAGTGCATAGCGCCGCACAAGTGAACCTTGAATCGCCTTCTTTGGACACTGGAGTTGATTGCGATAGAGTTATGGAGCAAATACAAGTATGGAGTGATACCTGCGAGCATATCTTGCATTTACGTTTACAGCAATTCTATAACATACGCAGGAAAACATCTTTTTGGGATATTTTGCTTTTCACACATAAGACAGGAACTGAGGTAACTCATTAAACCTATCTCTCTGTCTCTCAGTACAAAGTTCACCTTACTCAACTCGAATAAACCGAAAAATCGACAATAGAATCGACTGATTTGTTGACGGCAATTGATCAGATAGAGAATCGAGAAATACGACTGATTTTTGACAGTCTTTGATAGGCATGCACCTGACATTGACACTTTTTCAGTAAAGAAGAAGAAGATAGGTTGAATTCGGAATTAGTTTCGGTAAAATTATTTATTCAATTATTTATTAAAGTACTGGTTGGATATGTGTAGACCAACATCCAATCAATTGGAAATACCTACAGGCTACATTGAGAAAAATCCGGATAGGGCGTATAGGTTTGTGGGAACAATATTTTTTCTGGCACAACCAGTGGATCTATTATGTTTGTTATGTACAGTACTGAGTCATAACAAGGTTATATTCTTCCTCAATATACCTACGATACGAGTCTGTTGAATATAATCGGAGAACACATACCAACATGTTTGCTATTTTGATTCCTCTCTCATTTTCTTTCTGGGATATGTGGTCTTACCAAAGTAATTAATTCCTCGATCAGAATTGCACGATGAAATAGTTCTCGAAATATCCTCTCAGGCAAGTCGAAAGGATTTTTATGTGTCCTTAGATATTGTCGTTTTCAAAAAAGCGTGATATTTTCCTGGCTTCTATGTATATCTAATAGTCGTTCTCGTACAATGGGAGGCAAGGTAATTATACTGACAAGTAAAAATAAAAACATCACTTATTAAACAGAGGAAAAACTGTATTCGATAGCTTGGAACCTGTCGAATAAATTTGATAGAGTCGAGTCGATAATTCGACTATTAGTCTAATCATATTAGACAAAAATACCCCTGGTCTGCAAAATAATATTGTAAAGTCTGGTTTTATTGTTGCAAGTTATTCAAGGGGGTATTTAAAACATGGACGCATTAAATGGGTACACCAATTTTTGTAGGAAAACTTTTTAATTGAAATTCTTCAAATCCGAAAGCTTCTTCTAAATAATCAACAAAATTGGAGTCGATTGTTCAAGTAGTGTTTGAGTATTTCTTATTGTTTATCTCAAAACACCTATCTTCCGGTCATCACTACTAGTTTATTGAGCAATATACAGGGTTGGCTGAAAGGGCACTTTATAGCAAAATACACAAGTTTAACTTGCCGACATAAATCACAAGCCAATCCGAAAGATGGTTGCTATTTTTATGCGAAAAAAGTTTTTCCACAAAAACTGGTGTACCCATTTTATGCGTTTATGATTTAAATACCCCCTTGAACAACTTGCATCAATAAAACCAGGTTTAAAAATGATTTCGGGGAAATATGCTAATTTGATTAGACTATATCGAGAACGAATTCTTATTCGATTGTCAGCAACGCGACTCGTTTCAATCAAGGTTGAGACTTTTGATACTACTGATCATCTATATCCACATTGTTATGGCTGAGAGTTGTGTTTAAAATTTGTTTTTGAGCCTTCGCAATCCGAGTTACTCAATTTCAGCGGTAGTGCAATTTCTCTGGCGGTCTTTCAGTCATAAAAACTATTTTTTTTAATGTAGCTTGAAATTATTGATCGTTAAATGATGGCAAAGAATTTTTTAGAGGTATTCATCATTCCTGGCCATTTTTCAAAGAATAGTTGCGTTCCTTTTGCACACAATCTCAGATACACTCATCTCGTTGCAGTTTGCTCAGTTTATTGAGTCAAAACTCAGTTTAAATAAGATAAGATTTATTTCTTCCCCCTTCATTACCAACAGGCCAGCCTCAGCAATTCAAATTGTTACCACAGGCCTTAACAGTTGATGTAAAAAATTCAATTAGTTATAAATAGATATAATAGATGTGTCATGTTTAGGTTATGTATATCAAAGGTAGATCAGCTGTTATTTTTGAGACAGACTTTCACTCATTTGAAAGCATCATCTCTGTTTGGACTGTCTCACTTAACCTGCATGAACAAAAGAACTATTGGCTGCTGCCACTGCCTCTGAACTGCTGAATCTAAGAGTTATCTATAGCTTGTCACTTGCTGATTGTCATCTGATGTCATCTTAACAGGTTGTCAATCAACAGAACCTATCATGTTTTACACCTTGGTGCTACACAATGCTTAGATTCAGTTTCTGGGCTGCGTCTGTAAATTGTTACAGAGTGTATTTCGTACTACTCTGTAATAAGTTTAGCCTTAGTATCTATTCCATGCGTTCGAAAATTAAACAAAGTAGTCCTTCTTGAACGTCAAAATTGCACTTTTCTTCTCTGGATGAAAATCTTGGGAATAGATATATTTTTCGCGATAACTGGGCTACCTAGCATCCATAACGTCTCTTATGTTATAATGGTCGCAGAAATTAATGGGCTGTCTCGTCAAGTGTCATTACACGAGTCTGTAATAATTTAGGCGATCTAAAAATAAAGTTACACAGTATTTCCGAGTGATCTGATGTCATCTGTCAATCTACTTACCATTACTGTGTACGGTATTACATTACCAAGTGATTTACAAACGCACCCCAAATTGCTAGTGAAATTAACCACAGTCTTATAATCTTTTTGTGTATTAGTTGTTCTAACGGCGTTACTATTCACCTATCCTGTTTATTAGTAGCGATTGCTTTTTCGAATCAAATTCAATGTCATACTGATAGTGCTTGAAAATGCAGTCTTTAATGATGTGTTGAAGGCGATAAAATGAAAGTGAATACAGTAATTGACTTTGATCGGAAAACAAATTTATTAATCATAAATCAGCACAAATAGTACATATACCATCTAAATGTCTAATTCAATAGATAATGTCTTGCAG